CATGTTGTTTCTTTGATACATTTGCTTTTTGACTAAGTTCAATCACCATGGTGGATAAGGGTGTGTTCCCTTTGGTTAGTTGTTCTATATATATTTTTTTAACGGTAAATCTAGTCTATTTATATAAACTACTCCTCAATTTCACATATATCTCATAGAGAACTTGGACTCTCAACCTCAAAAAAGAAGGACAATAGCTGATATCGCTAAGCTACAAACCCTTTGATTGTTCTAGATTTTCTTAAATGAATTTTCGTTTGGTTAGTCTAATTTAAAATAATGTTATGGCTTTCATCCATAAAATTGTTATTTTTCATTTGGACAAGGAACCTTGATATTTATTTATTGGGTAAATTACACTAATTGTCCCTCGTGCACATGCCAGAAAGCGTGTTTAGTCCCTATTTTCAAAAATTAACTCGGACCGTCCCTCGTTTGTATAAAACTTGCACGTTTCATCCCTCAAAGACGAATTTGTTGCAGTTTTAGTCCGTTCCATATTTGAAATGACCATAATGCCCTTATGCATTTATTTTTCAGTTAATATGATAATATTTATTCTTATTTAAAATTTAAAAAATAAATGGACCCCTCTCCCAACACCCCTCACCCCACCCCACCCCACCCCACCCCACACACCCGTTATCCTCCTCTCCCGATCTGCTCTTCTCCGCCTTCATCTGATCCTATTACGATCATCATCTCCGACCACCCTAATTTTCACCTTTCACATGCAGTTCCCAAATCTGAAACATGTACCAAATGGTTTTAGAATTTGGAAATCAATTAGAAATCAAAATCAAGCGAAGCTTCAACCTGAAACCCAAATAGTTCTGATTTCCAAACCCGCAATCTAACCCGAAATCAAACCTATAAATCGTACCTGGAAATCAAACCTACCATTGAGACGCAGAGAGTGGGACGAGAAGAAGATAGGCGGAGAAAGAAGAAGGGCATCAGCAGAACTGCTGATGGTGGTGGGAACCCCGATGAATAGAAAAAAAATATGGTGAATATTTGTCACCGGAAAAACGAATCTGGTGACATCCTTGCCGCCGGAAAACGAATCTGGTACCCTGACTAACAAAACCCTTGACACGATCTCTTGAATAACATCCATAGAAGATCTTCATACAACATTCTTGCATATGTGTCTCAGAGGAGGGTTTTAAAGGGTGTGGATCGAGAAAGCCATCATCAGGAACTACTCCGCCTCCGTGATCGTTAAAGTCACCGCCTCCTAGAGTCTCACACCTTGTGCGCCGCCAGCACTACATGTTCTCATGAAACCCTAGAGCCATCATCGCCACCTATTCGCTTGAAAACCTTTATCGTCTCAGATCCACGCCACCGTCTCAATCTACGATGCTGCTTCAGATCTACACCATCATCATCATCATCATCAACTGTGTAGATCGTGTCAAGTCATTCAACATTTTGGTTGTGTCCGGTGGAGTGAGGATGGTAAGTGGAGATAGTGGGTTGTTCGAGTCTATAGAGGTGGTTGGAAGTCCATCGACATTGTCATGTTTTTCGGCGGAGCTGCGGTGATAACTGGTGGGTGTTGGTTGGGTGTAGGTTTTAAATATACGAAAAAGATGGTCAACTGGTATTCTAAAATAGGTGGGCCAAAATAATTTATTATATAATTTTTTAATAGATTAATAAGAAATACATAATCAATAAATGAAAAAGAAAAATGATAAGGGTAAAATAGTCTTTTTATGACACCAGGGACGAAACATGCAACTTTTTACGACATGAGGGACGGTCCGAGTTAATTTTTGAAAATAGGGACTAAACACACTTTCTAGCATATGCACGATGGACAATTGGTGTAATTTACCCTTATTTATATTCACCCATGGTCCGGTCAAGAGTTAATGTTGTTGATGAAGAAGTTAAAATGGATATGAAATTACCTTTTACCGTTATTATATCTTGTCAATTAATTTTTGTTTTTTTATTAAGTCGGTTTCACCATCTATATCTTTTTCTTCATTTCCTTATAGTTTTCTCCCCACCCACTTTTTCTTCGTCTATCATTTTCTCGAGTTTCTTAAGACAAGATTCTTTCTTCCTCTTGGCATCCGTCTCCAATGTGTTTAGACCTCAGATTTCTCTATAAATTATTAGAGTTAAGAAGAGGTTTAATGGAAGTGAAATATAATAATGGCGAAATGGGTTTTCCTTGCTCTCAGCATCAGCAACGTCACAAACCCACAGATGTTATCAAACCAACCCTTAGAGAATTCCTGCATATCAAATGGCTATTTTTCTGGGAATGAAGAGGAGGTTTAATCAGAAACCTATCGAAGTAATTAACAGCCAAACTTTCATTGCTCCTATATTTCTTCCATTTAGAACTATTTGGTATGCTTCTAAACGCAACATCATGAGGATTTTTGGCAGCATGTTCGAGAATGTTAAATTTTGAATTCAAATTATTGTTAAATTTTGATTTCATGGTATTATTGTCAGATGGATATGAAATAGATTCATATGCGAGAAAGATAAATTTAATAATACCAAAATTTATTGTTAATTGAATTCAATAATACCGCAATCTTGACAAAGATCATGGTATTATTGTCATTGTTCCTTGCATCATTGTCGGGATGGATATGAAATAGATTCATTCATAGGACACAACACAACTCTTTTGTCTTCATCACTTTTGATCCTTGAAACGTCCACTTTATTCAATTTACCAAATTCTTCATCTTTTTTTTTTTTTATCAATATTATTGATTCTTGAACACCCCATTTCATTTTTAGCAATATCAAGATGACAAGATCCATTTCATTGAAGTCTAATGCGCGCACCTATCATCAATAGACTCTTTAAGTATAAGGCTAAGGGGTATGGTTACCACCAGCCTACTCAAAAAGTGAAGTCACGTCAGCGTCACATCACCTTCACTACTAACCTACTACCAACTCACTAACCTTTAGAAATGGTTACCACTCCACATCATTTTTTTTTTATATTTTTGAACAATATTAAATTAAATTAAAAAATAATTCAAATAAAACACACATTAAAAACATTAAATTAAAATACATTGCATTAATTTTTAAACACACAAACTTAAATCCTAAAATATTTAAAAAACAACAATAAAAAAATCCTAAATTACTTATTTTTCCTAAAATACTTAAACGACAAAAAAAAAATCCTAAATTACTTTTTTATCATAATTTACTTAAAAAAACACACAACAACTAGAACATAAATATTAGAACCTAATCGTCATATTTAGCACGGACACGTTGTTGGATTTTCATAAATGTGGCGAGATTTTCAGGGTCGAGATCCGGTTGAGGTTTCGTGTTTATGATTTGAAGATCGGTGAGAGCGAGTTTTTGGCGACGACCTTCTTCTGCTGATTGGTATTTTTTCTAGAAAACTTAAAGCTTTATCTATGGATTCCACAAGCCCGTCGTCGCTAGTTGCGGTTGCTTTCCCGCTTGAAGACGCCGCCCGTTTTGCTTTGTCCCTACCCGGTGGTCGACGGAGTTGGACTTCAGGCGGACCCTCTTCCTCGGCGCCATCGACGTCATCATTGAGGTCTAGCCCAAAACCGGCGTCCGATTCAGAAGTTCTTGTTCTTTTGTTGGAGCCGGTGGTCGAGTCTGAATGCGATGTCTCTGGATT